AATATTTTTGAAATCACATATATAATAAAAAATATATCCAGAAGATAAAAAATAAGGGAAAGGTAATAATAAACAACCTAACTTCAAAAATAGGCAAAATATCTGAACAGACACTGCCAAAGAAATACAAATAAGCCTATGAAATGAGGCTTTATCATGAGTCATTAAGAAAAGGCAAATGAGAGCTACATAAGATAATCAGTGCACACTCATTAGAAGTACTTAAAGAAAGAACGGACTGTTCCAAATGTTGGTAAGGATGTAGAGACACCTGAATTCTCATATATTGCTAGTGACAGTGTCAAATGGTTTGGGCACACTGGAAAGAAATTAGCAATTTCTTATAAAGTAAACACATACTCTGCACACCAAACTAGCAATCTTACTTTATAAGCATTTACCCTACAAAAATGAAAATGTACATTCACATAAAAAGCCTGAACAGGGATGTTCATAGTAGCTTTATTTGTAATTTCAACAACTGAAAACAGCCCTAAATGTCTCTCACACGTGGAATGGCCATATAGAATACAACACAGCTATAACAAAGAACAAACTAAGGATAGATGCAACAGCATGAATGACTCTCAGAGGAACTATGCTAGTGAGAGAAAGCAGGTTTAAGAGGGAGAATACTATATAATTTAGTGTATGTGATATTTGTTCAAAGAAAACCTGTAGGTACAGAGAATAGGTAGGTGGTTGCCAGGGCCTGAGCAGAGAGGGATGGATTGGCTAAAGAGGTTATGAGGGAATCATTTTTTTCCCTGATGATGAAACTGTTCTATACCTTGATTGTAGTAATAGCTATGCATGATCACTATCATGACTATTTGGCTATTGTCAAATCATAACTATATACTAACAAGAGTGAATTAAATTGAATATACATTAAATCTTTTTTTTTTTGTACTGGGGATTGAATTCAGGGGAACTCAACCACTGAGCCACATCCCTAGCCCTATTTTGTATTTTATTTAGATACAGGGTCTTACTGAGTTGCTTAGAACCTTACTTTTGCTGAGGCTGGCTTTGAACTTGCAATCCTCTTACCTGGGCCTTTGCAATTTCTGGGATTATAGGTATACACCACTGCCCCTGGCTATTAAATCTTAATTTTAAAAGGATGTAGCTTATTTATATTTTTGTTGTTTTCCAAATGTATTTTGTTTTTTTGAAAAACAAAGCCATTTTAACTTTTCTAAGTCTGAGTCTCAGCCAAAAAGATTTCTGATAATAACTGGATGAAATTTCCAGACAGCTTAGTTTGTTCAGGCTGCTGTAACAAAATTCTCATAGCCTACATGACTTAGAAACAACAGACATCTATTTCTCACAGTGCTGAAGGGTGGGATATCCAAGCAAAAGTCTGGTTTCTGGTGAGGGCCTTCTTAAAAGAGGGCCACCTTCTCTGTATTTTCACATCTTAGGAAGAGTGAGGGATTGATATCTTTGAGGTCTATATTATAAGAGGACTCATTGCATTCATGCAGCCTCTGTCCTCATGACCTAATCACCACCAAGGGTCCTACCTCCTCATACTGGCCCCATGGGAGTTAGGATTTCAGTGTATGAGTTTTCTGGGAGACATACACATCCAGTCCTTTTCACAGACTTGTCTTTCTGATCTCTTTCTCCTAGCTTCTCTCTCAAGGACTTTTCTCTCTTCATAGAGTAGAGCTGATTGTAACTTTTAGGATTACAGTCACCTATTTAGTATGTCTCAAAGTCTTTATTGGTTTTTCCATACATCAATATAGCACAAATCCAATGGCTAGAACCTTTGTGTGATCTCTTTTTTTTAATCACATATCCTTGAACCCTAGCCTCAGTTTAAAGTGTGGAGAGGACTTAGTAATGATGAAATGCACACAAATTAAATATGTCTGGTATGACCACATTTTCCTGGTACTTTATAGAATCGTGAGGTTTTAAAAACCACCAGTCCAGATCAGATTTTCCTTGTTTGTTGATGAATATGGAATGTGGGGTGGAATCACAGGATCACAGAATGTTCAAGCTGGAAGACTTTTAGAGTTCATCTAGTCCAATTCTTTATTTTACAGAATCAAAAGCTTCATTGCGTGTTGGCCATTATCTGGTAACTTCAGGCACTCTCTGATCTTACATTCCTTGGGCTCCATCCAGACCCAGGTCTAAGATATGCTGTGCTCCTAGAGAAATGCATTCCACTTGGATAAAGCAAAACAAAACAAAAGTCCAGCCACCTATTCTACTCACAGACAGGAGTATAAATATGCAGTTCCAAGGGTGCATCAGCAATCAGCTATGCTGTGGTTCAGTAAAATGAGACTTATTTAAACAGCCCTTGGGTTTTCCTCTAAGGTCATGCAGTATTTGGGTTCCCTCAAGGTTTCTGGCAGTCTAGTAGTAAGGACTTTTGATGATCTATTTTATTTTATTTATTTATGGACATTTAACTGTAGTTCAGGCTGAAGTCTTATTCTTTTTAAACACACCTCCCTTCAAGGCCGCTTTACCTCATTTGTCCTTAGAACATTGCTGTGAGGGAAGTTCAGGGCTTTCTCAAAAAGGAAAACGTGAGTTTAGGTTTTCTGCTGCCACTGGCTTCTCAAGAATAAAATCACAAGAATAAAGTTTGTGGCAAAACTGAAGAACTGCAGGACTGGCATTCTCACTCCTGAGGGTGGGTGGGGATACTTGAGATTCAGTCTCAGCTGGAGGAAAACAAGGTTACCCGGCTTAGCTGTTCATTTCCCTTCCTTTCAATGAGGCTAACGGTAGAAGTTTCTAGGCCCTCGGTTTATTTGTCCTTTTGATTAATTTCATTGCAATGGAATCTCTTAAGCATGAAATGTTCACTTTTTACCTACACATATCTCTTAAAAGAGTCAAATATGGAATTTGGTCCAGTTTGTCTCCCTCCCCGCACCCTCCCCCTGCCCCCGAATTTGGGGACCAGTGAAGTCACTGTCTTTGTGGCACAGATCTCTCTTTGAATTGGCCAAAGCTCAGGGGCTTGGGACTTCTCTGGTTCTTGAGAAAATATTGTGTTTTGTGTCACTTTCTCTAAAATCTTTGTCTCCAGGGTATAGGGAAGAGCTAAATTATTAAAGTGATTGAGGTTCACAGTTCTCTTCCCTCCTTCCCTGCCTTCCCACCCCCTCCTTGCCTTCTTTTAAAAGTGTGAATGTACTCCTTGTTTGGACTAGGAAAGTTCTCATTAGAACACGGATGCTGGGAGAAATACAAATCCTTAGATGTGGCCTCCTGTTCCTAGTTCTTCCAAAGGAACTGTTTAATCTGATAAGTAAATGTGAGGAGAGGGACTCCTGTAGATTTTAACATCATCTAGAGACAGCAAATCTACAATTGCTCTCTAACCAACAGAGGGTCTCCAAGGACAAATCCAGGGAACCTCCTTTGCCTAGCCTGGCTCTGAGCCTGTTTGTATCTTGTTCCAGACCAGTGAAACTTAGACCTGATTTTGGGCTCCTGTGGCTTTTTGGGCTCACTCAGGCCTCTAATGTCTGTATTCCACATCCCATTATCCTGGGCCTCACTCGGCATCAGCAGTTCTGGTTAACATTGCTTGGGAATAAGCTTCCCAAGTCACAAAACGGGATGAACTTCCATTAAGGGAACAGGCTTTTGCAATATTGGGCCAATTCCCAAAACCACTTGGAAGATATGTTGACTCATCCTTAGGAAAAACAAAAGTAGAACAAGAATTTGTTTATTAAACATTGAAATTATTAGAACGTTAAAGAGTAGCTACTCATTAATATGTTCACCTCCCTCTCAACCTCTTCAAAAAGAGTGATATTTATATCCCAGCAGGATTTGCTTGGATGTAAGGAACTCTATCTAATGAAAATCCCATACTGCAGGCTGAGCTGGAGGATCATTGTGAGTGGCTCAGACCCAGCCCTTCAAGGCAGGGGACGGACACCATGGTGCTTGGTTTGCGGTAGAATATCTGGAAAAAGCATTGGTTACATTTTTGTAACCCTTGGCTAATGAGTCCCAGTCGGCAGGGCCTGAATTGAACACCACACAGGCAGCAGACCATCAGCTTGCTTCTTGTGAGTGTAAAGATGTCATGGAATCAGGTCTTGTCTTTTCATGTAACCTGGCAGCTAATTTCCCCCTTAATTAGTTACAACACTGCTTACGCAAAACAAAGGATTTGGTTATTTTCTTAAGAAAAATTGTACTGGAATCCTAAGTACGCAATTATTTTCTAAGTATGTAATATTTTCTTTAGAAAACAAGCTTGAAGGTCAGGGATTTTTGGGTGGACTTTTACCTGTGTTCTCAGCATTCCTTGATGGAAAGTGTGATGACGCAAGATGTTCTCTGTGTCCGGTCCTGCCCTTATTTTCAAATAATTAACAGTTATTTGATATTCTGAAGTTTGCAGAGTTTGGATATGTAGAACCTGAAGTGGAAGTCTTTACTAGGATTAGAGAATAAAGAAGAATTATAAAGAGAACTTATGGAAATGCCTGTTTGAAAGGGTTTTGGGGAGTCCAGCATTTCTCATATTGTGTAGAATAGAATACTAGTTCTAGGAAAATAGGATTCCAAAATCCAATAAGTTTGGGAAACACAGAATGTGATTTCTCCTCCTAGATATCCACGTTCATATTAGCATTTCATTATGGTTTGCACATAAAGTGTTTCTCCAAAGCTCCTGTGTTAATACAGGAATGCTCAAAGGTGAGTTGATTATGAGAGCTGTGATTTAATTAATCCATCTTAATTTGAAAGGACTACCATGAAGGTGGTAACTTTAGGTCAGTAGGGCATGGCTGGAGGAGGCAGGCCCTGGAGGGGTTCATCTTCCTTGTGTTTTCTGGCTGCTTTGATGTAAGCAGCACTCTTCTGCCACACCTTTCCACCATGTTGTTCTGCCTCACCTCAGGCTCAGAGGAATGGAGTCAGCAGAGCGTGGACTGAACTCTGAAGTTGTGAGCCCCAAATAAGCTTGTCCTCCTCTACATTGTTCTTCTCAGGTATTTGTTCAGAGAAATGAAAAGCTAACACGTATATTGGAGGTTCTGGGAAGTCTAAAAATGGAAAGAAAAAGGTTTGTTTTAATTTAGCACTTTCCCTTTTTTATTTATGCAATATTATACCTCTTCTTTTAAAAAATGTTATCCTTTTTTACTTACACTTTTTTTTTTAAAGCTACAGCTGATTGGTGGCAAATCCTGTGTCTCCTAATTCTTGAGCTCCGGGTCAATACATAACTTGCTAAGGTTTGTGAAGTGCTCCCTCTGTGACTCATAAGTGGGGACTTGCAGAGCTGTGGCCAGGCCATGGTTTTGGTGAGTTAAATCATTCTCTTGAATCTAGAGATCTTTCCCCAGACCTAGAAGGAAGCAACAACAGCCTGTGTTTGGCTCACAGAAGGACCTGTTGAAGACTTCAGTGTGTTTGAGCTCCTGCATCTGAGGGAGGCTTGTTCTGCTGCCACAGGTGAGTAGCTATCAGGTTTCATTCAAGGCCAACTCAGGGCAACTCAGGGAAGAGGTAAAACATGCCTTCAGAACACTGCATCCCTTTTTCATTTTATTTTTAAATCCATGATATAATTATATCTTCTTCTTCAGACCCCTAGTACTTTTAAAATACATTTTCTGCTCTGAGAGTGTTTACAATAAAGTGTAAATGACTGAGGACTATAATTAAGGTGTTTTGTATTGCATAGGGATTTACATTTTACCCCAAACTCTATCCTAAAAACCATCAAACTCCAAGAGTACATCTTGAGGTAAATGAAGTGAGAGGAGGAGCATTTATAGAAGTGTATATAGAATCTGAAACCATATCAGACTGATATATATCTATTTCATGTTTGAATAAGAATAGTCTGGGGTCCCCAAATACACATGTCTAGTTCAACCCAATGTAGTACACATGTCTTGACACCTTAATATTTCTTATCAGGCATCTCTTTTTACAGGATGGGTCAGCTTGGTGAATCTCTAGGGAGCCATATGATTTGCTTCTTCACAAAGCATCTCTGCTTTCACTGCTCAAGGAAATGGGAGGGCTTGCTCAGTGCCACTCAGTCCTGCACTCACTAATTCCTTCATAGGGATCAGCTGTCATGTACCAGATCCAGGAAAACAGAGATACCTAAGTAATGACTTTTACTCTCAAACAATTTCCCTACAAGAGGGTACATTCATAGACTCATGTAAATAAATAGTGATGGCTTGATAATTTCTTCGATGAATATAAATGCCAGCAATATGGGAGTAGATTTTTCCATCAAGGTGTCTTTGAATTGCTTTTACAAAGTCAGTTCTATCTGATAAGTACCTCTCTAGAACTCAAATTTTGTGTTGTTCTTCAGATCCTACATTGAGGCAAAAGTCACAGTGGCCTGCATGGTATGGTCTACCCCTTTGCCACCCACCTGCTCCATCCTTGCTCCTGCCAGCATATGTGGAGTAAGCTTTTAAGGCTATGTTTGTGATTAGGTTGGTTTGAAGTCTTTTGTTGTTGGATAGAGGTGACACATTAACTTAGGAAAGACTAGATTTAAAAGATATTACAAATTCCTTGGATAACCAGAAACTTCCGTGTAACATGCACTATGAAAGAGAAGTTTATTTGGCTTTTATTTTTTTTAATGAGAAAAAGAGCATTTATTAGTTTGCATTTATTTGGCTTTTAAACAAAAAGATAACACTTGACGAGAACATTAGACCCTGACATCTCAATTATCTTCTTTTAAGCTAATTATGCTACTAAGTTTCCAACATATTGGTCAAGCACATCATTGGGAATGAAGATCGAAGGATCATCTTGACTTGCTCCATGGGGCCTTGTGAAGTATCTCAGGTCTGTAAAACTCTTGAAGGGAGAAGCTGGTGACCCCAGGAGTTGTGCAATGTGGAGACAGCACCCTGTTCACAAATGGCTTGGTTCACTCTGTCCCCCTTTCCTTATATCTGCCATCAGTTGAACTCATAGGACAGAAGGTTAAACAGTGGATTTCCAGAGCTATAAGGGACCTGGATTCCTCTTAGAGTCAGGGGTAGAACAGTTTATTGCTCAGCTCATGAAGCAGACATATTTGAGTTTGAACCATGGCTCTGTGCTTCATTGGAGATCCATAAAATGAATAAAATAATAATATTTCATGAAATCATGTAGCCTAAATACTTGGAATCTGATGCAGTTAAATATACAAATAAATGTTAATTCCTATTATAATCTTACCTCCTATCCCTCCTTTTAAAAATTTACTTTGGGACTCAGTGATATGAAATGACTCATCTGAAGTCTTATAGCTGATTAATAATAGTCAAACTTAATTTAGTGTTGCCTTAACAGCATCCTAGGATTTGCCCAGTAGAATTTTGTTTTTAGCCACCTTTGAATGTCCATAAGCGTGGCTCTCAGCACATAAGACTCTATATTGTCCTTCTTCTGCAACTGATTTTCACACTTAAACCATGACATACTTTCCCCCCATGTATTTCAATAGTTTTGGTATTGATCTTTGAGCTGTTAGCCTTAACATTCTGCTTTTCAAAGTCTGTTGTCTGGAGAGCTAAACCCACAGTGGACTGTGTCCCTAACTCAGCCCAGATCTCCTTTGATCCTTTTTTACCATTTATGTCTGTGAGATTATTCTCTTCTGTTTGTTTGATTTTCTTCTAACAGTATTCTCTTGAAATCCTTCTGGAGTCCAAGATGTGCAGATAGGCAGCAGGATGTAGGATTTTATGTTCTTTAAAACATAAAATCCAAGCCCTTAGCCCAAGAGGGTTTGGGCAGGAATACAAAACCCCCGTCTCCATGCCCGTGATCAGGACAAACTCCGAAACGTAGTTTATATAACAGACCTCCCTCTGGGGATCTAGGCTGAAGCTAGCAGTTTGTCTGAAATTCCACCTTTTCTTGGATGCTTCTCCTTCTGTGTCCTGCCTCTGTGCTTGGCAGTGAGTCCTTATCTCAGAGTCTGGTTCTGGAACCTCCAGCCAAGCAGAGCATTATTTATGAACAAGCTACCCTCTGTTTTACATATATACTTCCTCATACCAGAAATTATTCAGGGGGTGGAATTTCTTGCTATTTCAGTGAAATCACATATGCAAAGTCTCTTTGTACATGGTGCATGCTATAGAAATGTGAATATGATTCTTCACATTTTATTTCCTTTGCTGTTATTTTGAATAAATCCAGTCTATAGTGTGCATATCAGAATTTCCATGTCTCACTTTTCAACTGCATTGGAGTGTATTTTCCCATTTATGACACTTTAGTTCCTCTGAAGACCCCTCGCACTGATTGTCTCAGGTCAGAAATTATAGTTATTAAAGGATGCAGAGCCAGGATGCTTCGTGCATCCAAGGCTAGGTTATATTTTCTCCATAATATCTGATATGCCCTTATTATCTAATTAATAACATATTTTAGTATATAAAAGTATTTAAAGGTACATACTTCACTATAATTGTCAATTATTTTTCTCAGGCTTTCCCCCTCATATTTTTTTTTGGGGGGGGGGGATTTAGCCTTTCATTTGCAAACAAATGTCCAAGGAATAAACAAGCTTACTGCAACCAAGAATGTTGGTTGATACAAATCAACTGATACAAATCTTCAGTTCTTCGTCCTGATGTTCACTTTCATGATTTCAATAGCAAATACTTGTCTACTAAAAAGTCCAGAAAAAGTTAAGATGCTTATTTTTTTCCTATGGTTCTCTGTGGTTTCTGCTAAAACCATACCTTCTGTGGCTGCATTTGTAATGGCTTCATCAGGACTTGTCTGCCAAGGGGAAGGCTGAAGTTTCCCACCTGCAATTGGTGCTGGGCCAGCATCTGTCCTCTAATCCCACAACCCACCATGGTTTTTTGAATACCAAAGGTGCTTTTAAAAGCCCATGCAGAAGTGGATGCTGAAACTCCCACATAGTCATTTTGCTTCAATGTGATGTACATTCTATAGTCTGCAACCGGTGACAGATCTCATGGGAGGGCTTTTAACCCTCAGTCTGCCATAGCCAAGACCTCTAGCTTGAAGAGATTGTGAGAAGTGAATTTGAGGTTAACCACTTCATCTCCCAGATGTTCCAATTCAGACTTACCTCTGATTTAGTTAGTTAAGAATGTTATGCAAGCCATCAACAAAGCTGGGAAACTATGACCAGATGCCATTGCTGTGAGGTCCTGGGTATGGTCCCAGCAGTGCCCTGCTATGTAGACTTGGAGCTGAGATCACTGGGCATATGACAACAGTATTCAGCACAGGAGAGATCCCTGGCCCCGTGCAAAGGGTTTTTTGTTTGTTTTTGATTCCTTGATGATTGTTTACAAATTGTAAATTCTGTATTTTAACTTGAACAATTGTTATACTTGTTTGCAAATAAATCAAAATGAGAAGTTCCGAGTAATCAGTTTGGTTCTAATAAAAAAAAAATCTCTAGCCATTAGAAAAATACAAATTAAAACTACACTGACATTTCATCTTACTCCAGTCAGAATGGCAATTATCAAGAGTATAAGTAACAATAAATGTTGGTGAGGATGTGGGGAAAAGGATACAATCACACATTGCTGGTGGGACTGCAAATTGGTGCAACCACTCTGGAAAACAGTATAGTTTCCTCAAAAAACTAGGAATGGAACTACCATTTGGCCTAACTATCCCATTCCTCAATTTTTATCCAAAAGTTTTAAAATCAGAATACCACAGTGATGCAGCAACATCAATTGTCATAGCAGCTAAATTCACAATAGCTAAGCTATGGAACCAACTTGGATTCCCTTTAACAGATGAATGGATAAAGAAATTGTGGTATATATGCACAATGGAGTATTACTCAGCCATTATGAAGAATGACTTTAAGACATTTGCAAGTAAATGGATGAACCTGAAGACTATCATACTAAGTGAAATAAACCAGTTCTCCCAAACCAAAAGTTGAATGTGTTTGCTGATACATGGAAGCTAATCCACAATAAGGGTATAGAAGAGAGGAAAATATATTCAGTAGATTAGACAAAGGGGAATGAAGGGAAGGGAGGCAGGATAGGAAAAAGAAAGGCAGTGGAATGAATCTGAAATAATTTTACCAGGTATTTATATGAATACACCATAGTGAATCCCACCATCATGTAACAATGGGACTCTAACTAGAATAAGATATATTTCACACTTGTGCAACTATATCAAAATGAATTCTGCTGTCATGTATAACTAAAAAGAATCATTTTTTAAAAACACCTGGAAAAAATTCAATGTTGAAAATCATAATGATAATTTTTGTGAAAATGTAAAGAATAAAATTCTTCTTTTTCTGACAAACTGATTTGTCTTTTCTTTCATTTTGAGCTTGGAACTTGTAATCCAGCCTTTAACTTTCAGCCAGTGTATCCTGCCAAAATGTACAGTCTCTGCCTGAATAACTCAGAATAGTGTGTGTTTGTGGGATGTGTGTGTGTGTATGGGTGTGTGTATATGTATGTATGAATTGCCTTGTTCTATCCAAAGGATTATAAGGCCTCAGCGTGTATCTTGATGCTAAGCTCAAGATCCTTAACAGCCAATTTGAGTTTGCTGTGACTTATCTAAGGTTTTTCACTACATCCAGCTACACCCTAACTCACTCTGTACATATTATCAGAAGCAAATGTTTTAGGAGAGTGCAAATGCCACGGACCCTGCTTGGATGGCTTGCCTCTTAGCCCTTAGGCATCCTGCAATCCTCAGGAAAAAAACTGTTTTTGAACTGCACAAGCAGATTTTATTGAATTAGGTTCTGGTTTCTAGATGAAGAACCTCATCTGTATTGCATTTGCCATAAGTAGTGCAACCAATGTTCTTTAGACATATCCACTGACTGTAGGCCATGTGCTCTTGGCTGTTAGGTAAGTCAGGGTTGAAATATCACATTTCCATGCTGCTTTATTAGATAAGTGTCCCTCGTAGATTTATATGTAAGATAGGCTTGGTCTATAGATAAGGTCTATATGTAAGACATAGGGCTAGTGAGAGGTCCTTAGGTCACTGGGCATGTGAAATTGTGGGCCCCTGGTCTTTTCTTATCTGTCAGTATTTCTCTGAGTAGGTTTCTCTGACATATGCTCCCTGCCACTATCATCCAGGACCCTCACCAAATCCCCAAAGTGAGGGGTCTACCCAATCTTAGATCAGAAGTTCCAGAAATGTGAACCAAAAAAAATATTTTCTAAGTCAGTCACCTCAGATATTTTGTTGTCATATCATCAAGCTGACTAATACACTGAGGCATACCTGACTCCAAGTTCTTGGCACAGAGTGACTAATTAATTAGAGAGCATGGTGATTGTCAGAGTACTACTACCATTTTTGCACTGTTGTGGACAACCTGAAGCCATAAGTCCAAATGCAGCCACTTCATCTTCTCTCTTTTCATTCATGTTTGTAGGAAATTCATTAAAAGCTTCATTAAAAGTCAAAAACCACATGCACTTTCCTCATCTATTCTCCATGTTCAACCTCATCGTGTCAGGAAACTGCTTGAAAGACAAGTCAATGGAACAGATGTTTGCTCTTATATGTGAGTCTAAATTTGGCACATCATGCTTTATGGGGTGGGTTTCAAAGAAGGGACTCTCTGTCCTCTGAATCCAGGAAAGATGAGTCCTGGAAAGAAAGCAGGCTGTCAATATGCCTTTATTCATACTCAGCAACATCATTGTGTCTTCAACACAAAGCCCACTGACGTGTTAGCTTAGTAAGGCATTGAGGATGCAGAGGATAAAGAAAGAAGAGTGTCCTTGGAGATATGAAAACTAATAACTAATATCTAGTTTGACTTTTTACATGACCTTGCAGCACAGAGTTTCCCTTGAGTAAAACAAAGGAGCTGGAAACCCTTATACAGGATGCAGGTAGAATAGTAGAGAAAGATGAATTCACTTAGGTTCACATCCTGTCTTCAACATTTGTAACTCTTAAACCTTGGGCCACTTTCTAAGAATCTCTAAAATGAAGCAAATGAAACCTGTGAAGATATTAGGATTGTGTATACAGAAAGCATCAACTTTTTCATAGGCTCTTGAAAAGCAGTACCTATTATCATTACCTATTCCATTTTATGCTTATTAGAGAATCTGTGCTTTCAGATGATATTATCTACCCATTCCTTGGATTGCCTGTGTTTTTGATAATGAATGCTTCTTTCACGTGAATACTCCTGTTATCTTTAAAGAGAAGTGCATGTAAAAATAAATTCAAATTCAGTTCTTTTGCCTCTCCATTCTTTGGAGTGTAGGACAGCCAATATTTTTTGAACTCAAGTTGTGTTTATTAAGTCTATTTTGTGCCAGGCAGTGTGCCACGTGCTGGGAATACAAAGATGATTGAGTGCCTCTGTCTGCCAAGTGCTCTTAATTTTGATGGGAAGGGAGACAGAGACAGAAACAGAACATTTCAATGCAATTTGATGAGTGATATGTACAGGGTGTGGTGGATACTGTTAGTTGCCTCCCCAGTAACAGTTCCCTCTTTATAGTTGATAGGACCCTGATTTTGTTCAGGCTGGTAAGGTATCCAGATAAAGCCTCACCTTCCAGGGCTCCCTTCATATGCCACGTGTGGCTGTGTGACAGAGCACTGGCCAGTTAGGGCATCCACAGAGGCTTGATGGGAATTCCCACAGAGTTACTACTCTTGATAAATAGGGATTATCACAAGGAACACTGTCTCTCTCTATTTTTCCTGTTTTGAACATAAGCACAATGCCCAGTTATTAGCAGATATCTTATGATCGTGAATGGGATAAACATGAGAGAAAAAGTAAAAGAATTTTGGAGATGTTCCCATGATGCTGCTGACCTACTGATTTGATGCCAGCTTCTGAGTAGGTTCAAAATCTTGTAATGTGAGAAAACTATACTTGCAATTGTTTCAGCTATTGTAAGACATATTTCCTGCTACTTACAGCCAAAGACATCCCTAAATGATACAGCTTCTATAAGCATAAAGAAGAGAAATCATATTTCTCATGTAATTTTAAATAGCTGAGAGGAGACACTGTCATTCTTGTCAGAAAATCTGCCCTCTGGTGGATGAGAAGAGCGCTGGGCAAACAGCCTGACATTTGTCAAGGAGGAATTTCTCATCCATCACCTATGGTTCCTAACACTACTTAGGCTGCAATAGAAAGAGAAAGAAAAAAAGAAAAAAGAAAAAAAAAAAAAAAAAAAAAACCTTGGATGAACTTGCCTCCTGGGACATTCCAGTTCACTTGAAGACATGTTCCTGTAAAGTCTTCCATGCAATTAGTCACATTCACCTGAGTGACCCCGTGTGTTAAGGGACCTCAGTCAGGAATTTGAGGGTTCCCTCTGACTTAGGTCACACCAGAGCCCTCCATAGTCCACGTTTCAGGTTAAACCCTTGCTGCATTTTCCAGAAGCAAGGCCTTGGAAACCTTGACTGTGGCCAGATTCACAGATATGCAGCTGCCAAGACTAACAGACTGGTAGACAGTCTTTGTGCTTCCCTCTCAAGCTCCCAAAGAGATACCTGCTTTTTCCAGTAATTCACTTTTCTCTTTCCCTCTGTCTTGCCCTTTTCTTTTTCAGGCACAAGTTGAGTCTCACACATGACTTTGGGGAAAATAACTGCTTGTTCTCAAACATGTTACTGGGAGACACATTCCTGCTCCCTCCCTTCCTCTTGCACAGTGCCTGGCCTGCCTTGCCCTGTCTCCAGGAGATCATGACGCTGCAGCCTCACTCTGCAAGTCCCCATACCTTCCAGCAGTCATGCCAGCAGCCTGGGCTGCTGGAGTTTGCATTCTTCTTCTAAGTAGCTTGGCAAATAAGCCCTTTTGCTTCTCTGTCTTCTGAAGCCTGCCTGGATTTTAATGGCTGGGCTGAAGGGAGCATTCAGTTTCGTGCCGATGAACCCACACCTCTTTGGGAGCCTTTCGCCCCTTCCTACCAATGCCCATCTGTAATCACTGAGGCGTGGCTCAGGGCACCAAACAAACAGCCACACAGCAAGTTGCTTTGAACTAGAGCCCTGTTCCTGGTGAGTTGAGGCAGGATTAGTTGGACACCCATTGGGCATGAGTTGGCATTGACAGCTGGAAAAAAAAAAACAAACAAACCTCAGGGCACCCATGGAAATGCTGTGTCTACGATCCAAAATAAGGACGAATGCAGTTTAAGTTCCCAAGTTTAGTTTTGGTGGATTCAAGGAAGATGAAGAGACCAGGGACTGTCAGCAAATACTTAGGGAAAGTCAATCCAGATGTTCTCAGTAACAAAGTAACCATTGCAATAAAAAGCAAGTGACATCTAACATGCAGAAAAGACAGTTTAGAATGTGAGCTTATCTAGGAGTTTTCAGGACCCTGAAGTAAGTGGAAACTGCCCCTGACTAACACTCTCACCTCTG